TAGTTATGGCTGAATCACGTGTGCTTTCGCGCCATGTACTGGTGCTGTGTGACCCTGGACCCGAAGTTAACTAAACACTTGGTGATTTCCAGTCTCTTTTTTTGGACCTTGAAATTAGAGGCAGCAATAGGAGCATTTTGTCCTCCTCCTTAGTGATGATCGTTTGGTGTGTATTTTGTATCCCAGGTATTAATCCTCTTTTAGTAACTATTTGTGGTCTCGGTCGTATGTATTAGTTGTGTAGCGAGGAGTTTCTATGTAAGTTCTATGTATATGACGCGGGGTCGGCACGTTGGGCTCCTCTATCCTTCCGGCGGCCCTCCCCGCCTCGTTGTCTGGCGGCCGGGTATGGCTGGTGTCAGGCGCGGTCGTTCCCCACGGGTCAGCACGCACTCCTCTGGCGTAGGGCGCCCGCACTAACCGCCGTGTGGAGTTGCTTGAGCTCAGGAGTTTCGAACGACCAGCGCTTGGGACGTAAGAATAGGTGGAAATTCCTTGTTTTTACAAAAAATACAAATTGCTGGGAGTGGGTGGCTGTGAGTGTACCGCGATGTCCCAGCTATTTGGGGAGGGACCTGAGTGGTCGAGGATGGCTTCAGGCTCGAGCGAGGCAGATGGTCGGCCAGTGAGCACCCCGATCCCCCCCCCCCTAGATCGTGCGACTCCATTCCAGGGGCCTGGGGGTGATGAAAGAGCCGCGGCACTGTATCAAAGGACAAGAAAAAAAAAGAAAAAAAAAAAAAAAAAAGAGAAGAATCAACTTGACAATTACAAAGATATGGGTATCGGATCTCACAATTGCAAACCTTCAGAGAGATAGGAGCGGGTCAGACTCTCAAGGTTTCACCTACCGTTTTCTTTTCTTATTTTTTGTGTGTTTTGTTGGTTTTTTTTTTTTTTTTTTTGAGACGGGAGCCTCGGCTCTGTCACCCAGGCATGCGCTGGAGATTGCAGTGGGCAGATTCTCAGCTACTGCAAGGCTCGCCTCCGAGTGTTCACGCTATTCTCCTACCTCAGCCTCCCGAGTAGCTGGGACTACAGGCGCCCGCCACCTCGCCCGGCTAGTTTTTGTATTTTTTAGTAGAGACGGGGTTTCACCGTGTTAGCCAGGATGGTCTCGATCTCCTCACCTTGTGATCCGCACATCTCGGCCTCCCAAAGTGCTGGGATTACAGGCTTGAGCCACCGCGCCCGGCCCTCCCTACAGTTTTCTTATTCAGATTTCTAGGACTCACATCCCTCAGTTCAGAAGAACAGAGGCTGCTTTCCTACCTCCAACCAGTAAACAAAAGGCACAGGCTGTCCAACTGGATGAATTTAGGTCATGTGCCTGCCCCTGAACCATTCTCAGTAGCTGAGAGAATGCCTCACAGTGATTGGTTTAGGGGTGAATTCCTTCCACATTCTTGCATTTAGGGGGATGGGATTATGCTGATTAAGAGTAGGTGCAACCCTTTATGAACTCTGGCTGCTATACAATGAATGAGGCTGGCATTAATGACTGCAAGAATGGACAATTTTGGTGTTTGAATTTATTTATAGTAAGAAATAAACCATGACAACTTTTCTAAAATGTAATCTTTTAGAACACAAAAAAATTGCAGAAACAAAAATGGCCCATAATCCCGATGCTCTGTTGACCATCTTTGTTTTGTTTCTTCGTTTGAGCATATGGCAAAAAATGCAAAATTCAGAAATGTGTAACGAGCATAGAATGTTACTGGAACAATTGACAAAACTTGAACACAGACTACATACTAAACAACAGCATGAAATTTCAGTTTTTCTGAATTTGACGACTGCAGTGCGGTTATGTAAGAGAATGTCTTTTCTTAGGAGATACACCGTGAAACAGAGGAAAAAGGACATGATTCTGAAACTCTCAAATGTTTCAAAAAGTAACATATTGAAATCACACATAGGTACACATGTGCATAGGTATACATATATATCTATAGAGACAGCAGTAGCAAATGTGGCAAAATGTTAACATTTGGCAAATCTGGATAAGGATTTGCAATTCTGCTGCATTTGAAATTATTTAAAAATACAAAACTTGAGTGTTTGGAGAAACAGGAATAAGAAACGTTTTGTTACCATATTTGCGGCTTCTATACAGTCTTTTACGACGCAATTGAAAAAAAAAACTAAACTAAAAAATATAACATAAATCTTCCCTCCCATAGTGGCCAGAAACCCCTGCCAAGTTCTTCGGATATCGTAACAGGAAAAAAATGCAAAGCAATATGTCTTTCTATAAAGATTACTTATTTACTAATTATCATTTTTTAATTTTCATGAAGATCAACAACAAAGTTTTTTTAAAATAATGACTTTGAGAATCATTTTGCGGTATTTGTTTAAGGCTGTCGCCCAGGAAAACGCCCAGGGACCATGCGCGCTTCAACCCAGTGGAAACACGAACGGCCCAGGGACCGCCCCTTCGCGTTGCTTGACGGGATCTGGAGTCCTCCCGCTCCGCCCGGCCAGGCGCTCGGGAACCGCCCGTCCGCTCCCTCATCTCGCGATGCCATCCTCCTTTTTTCCCCCCCCCCCACTCGCCCCTAAGCCCTATGACTCCCTCCCCTCTCAACGTGTTTTTCAAATCCACCAATGGGCACACAGCTTGGGCTCGAACCAGCCAATCGGAATGCGGAGTCACCGGGAAATTTAAATCGCGCCGGCCGGCTGCACGAGCCACACGGTCTTTGAGCTGAGTCGAGGTGGACCCTTTGAGCGCAGCCGTCCCACAGCCGCTGATTCCCCGCATCGCCTCCCGTGGAAGCCCGGACCCGCTTCGCAGGTACAGACTCAGGCGGCGGCTCGGCCCGAGCGCTAACGGTTTGCCCGCGGGCGGCGTTCGCCTTTGGGTGGGGGGAAGGAGGCCCCGGGTCCACGCCGAGCCTAGCTCAGCCTCCCGCGTTGTCTAGGCCTCGGGGGCGACTGGTTCATTGACCAGGCGGCTGAGTTTCGCGAGGTCTGCGGGTTTAGGGCGCCGACGCTCTTCAAATGGCAGCGGAGACCATAACGCGTCGCGGCCGGGAGAATCGGAGCGAGCCAGGCCTGAGGGCGAATGTCCCAGGAGGGCTCGTGGCGGCCCTGGCCTCGCTTCCCCCTTTCTCGTTGCATCTTCCCCGACGTAGGGGCAGGGGCAGGGGCTGGGGGTGGCAGTTGGGAGCACCGTCTCTGACACTTTGGCCCCGGGGTGGCTGTGCCACCAAGTCGTAGGCGAGCGTAATGAAAGCAAAGATAGCAAATTGTAAGGAGGGCTTTGACTTTTGTCGTCTTCTGAATGACGCACAGCTGATGTCGTCCTAATTAAGTGCATTCGCTCCTAGTCTCTGGAAATGCAAATCAAATATGCGACATGCGGCACTGCATTTTTAATGTTGACCATAATGATGAAGCAAATTTTTATTTAGTTTTCGAATCTGCACCTATTTTGGCCAAGTAAAGACAGTAAAGTAGTGCGAGCCTCCTGAGAATCTGAATTTATTGCCCTGGCACATAATTTTTAGCTGTAAGTTAACTTGGTTCCCTTACTTTGCCTTGGATTAACTATTAGGGACTCTGGAGTATCGAGCCAGGCTGTCAGAAACGGTGGACACACGTGGCTAGTCCAAATTGAAATACGCTGTAAGCTTAAAGTACACAAAAGACTTCAAAGATGGAGTATGGAAAAAGAATGTAAAAGATGTCAGTTATTTTATATATTGAAATATATATGTTGAAATACTATTTGGATATGTTGGGTTAAGTAAAATTATTGAAATTAGTTTCACTTGTTTCTTTTCGCCTTTTAAAAAGTATGGCTACTAGGAAGTTTCAATTTATATAGCTTGCATTCTGTTTCTGATGGACAGCCCTCTCCAGGAAGTCTCAGCCCTTCAGAGGGTAGGGGGACAGTTCCCCTTTGGGTAAAGCTATTTCATAGTGCTGAAAACATGATGATCCCCCCTCTAGTATACAGGTGTGGATTCAGTAGATGCTTGATAATTCAATTCTTATTTGGTACTATTATTGACAAAGGAAAACGATAAAGGAAATATTTTTCTCCTCGCCCATCTTTTAGCTTTCTCCCTTTGTCTCATAACCATGTCCACCAACGAGAATGCTAATACACCAGCTGCCCGTCTTCACAGATTCAAGAACAAGGGAAAAGACAGTACAGTGAGTACTTTCTGTTGCTTTCCTGTGGTGGTGTTTAAATGGGACGACATTTGGCAAGGGGTGAAAACTTAGGGATCTTTTTAAAAATACCCTCACTTAGCAACAAAAACTGATGTGATAGGTGAAACGGCATGTTATCTTTTCTCAAGGAAATGAGGCGTCGCAGAATAGAGGTCAACGTGGAGCTGAGGAAAGCTAAGAAGGATGACCAGATGCTGAAGAGGAGAAACGTAAGCTCATTTCCTGATGATGCTACTTCTCCGCTGCAGGAAAACCGCAACAATCAGGTAAAAAATGTATTTTGGTTTATGAGTTACGTGAAATCCAGAAAATCAGTAGGAACTTTTCTTAGAAATTCAAGTAAACTTAACATTTTTAGCCTTAGGTTGTAACTATCTGTGAAGATCTTTTTCTCTGTTCCCAATTAGTAATTGTCTTCTTTCCTGCCTTCCATAATCCACTGAAGCTGATTTAGGATCTTCCTTTAGCTCTGACCTTCCTTCAGACTTCCCTGCATTTCTAGCTGCTAACTGGGTACCTTGACCTGACCACTGTGTCCAGAGCCAACCAGTTTCTGGTTTATTCTTTTTTTTTTTCTTTTTCCCTAGACGGGGTCTCGCTTTGTTGCTCAGGCTGGAGTGCAGTGGCACAATCTTGGCTCACAGCAACCTCTGCCTCCTGGGTTCAAGCAGTTCTCCTGCCACAGCCTCCTGAGTAGCTGGGATTACGGGCACGCACCACCATGCTTGACTAGTTTTTGTATTTTTTTGTTGTTTTGTTTTTTTGAGTTTCCCTCTGTCGCCCAGGCTGGAGTACGGTGATGTGATCTCAGCTCACTGCAAGCTCCACCTCCCAGGTTCACGCCATTCTCTTGCCTCAGCCTCCCAAGTAGCTGGGACTACAGGCACCTACCACCCCGCCCAGCTAATTTTTTGGTATTTTTAGTAGAGACGGGGTTTCATCGGGTTAGCCAGGAAGGTCTTGATCTCCTGACCTCGTGATCCACCCGCCTCGGCCTCCCAAAGTGCTGGGATCACAGGTGTGAGCCACTGCCCGGTCTGTTTTTATATTTTTAGTAGAGGCAGGGTTTCACCATGTTGGCCATGCTAGTTTTGAACTCCTGACTTCGTGATATGCCTGCCTTGGCCTCCCAAAGTGCTGGGATTACAGGCGTGAGCCACCAGGCCCTTCCCGTTTTTGGTTTATTTCTGCCTTTTTTGGTATTCTCTCTTTTTTTGTATTTGTCACCAGCTTTGTTCAGGACTTTCCTTCTGAAATATTTACGGTAGCCTCTTAAGTTATCATTTCCTCCTTTCTGTGCCATATATTATTTTCCTGAAATTTTTCCTAAAGTACTGCCTTAGACATGTGTTTTCTCTCCTCAAAATCCATCCTCCAAATTGCTTGAACCTGGTAGGCGGAGGTTGCAGTGAGCCAAGATCGTCCCATTGCACTCCAGCCTGGGCAACAATCAAGGAAAAAAATAAAAATAAAAAAATTCATATTCCAGCTGGGCGTGGTGGTTCATGCCTGTTCATGCCAACACTTTGGGAAGCTGAAATGGGAGGATCACTGGAGGCCAGGAGTTTGAGCCCAGCCTAGGCAACGTAGCAAGACCTTGTCTCTATAAAAAATAAAGTTAGCTGGGCATGGTGGCATTGGCCTTTAGTCCTAGGTATTCAGGGGGCTGAGACAGAAGGATCACTTGCCAGGATTTTGAGGTTGCAGCGAGCTATGATTGCACTACTGTACTCTTGCTGGGTGACAGTGAGACCCTATCTGTAAAAATAAAAATCCCTGCTCCATGAAGGCCTTGTTTCCATAAGAGAGATTATTTGGACATGATTTTGCTTAGCATGTTCACGTTTTATTCTTTCATTGATTCACTATTTCACTGTATACTGTTTGCTGACTTGCCGTAGACCGTGATGGCATCCTCTTCTTATCCATGTAATAATGACTATCCATATTTCTGCTCTTTTGTCATATGGCGACTGTCAAGCCATTTGCTTTGAGTCCTGCTCCATGGCCTGTGATTATTCAGAATGCAAATTTTTACGGGCCCCATCTTGCTCACCACTACATCTTTACCATATCTCTGCTGGGCAGCTTTACGGCCTATTACTACTCTGTTTTCTCAACAACTCCAGGTCATTGCGTCCTTTTTTTTTATTGGATTACTGCATGTCCACACACATGCCCAGTAATTTTTTGTTTTTTTTCAGTCGGAGATGGAGGTTTTGCCAATGTAGGTCAGGCCTGGTTCGAACCTGACCTCAGTGTGGATTCGCCTGGCGTTGGCCTCCCAAAAAGGTTTGAAGGATTACAGGTTGTTGAGCACACGGGCCCAGGTTACCATTATGCTTCCTTTAGCACTCCACATCTTTTTTTTTTTTTTTTTTTTTTTTTTTTTTTTTTTATTTTTTGAGACGGGGATGTCTCCCTCTGCGCAGGCTGGAGTGCAGGGCGCCGATCTGCTCTCACTGCAAAGCTCGCTTGTCCCTCTGGATTCACGCATTCTCCGCTCGCTCTCCTAGTTAGCTGAATACATGCTGCCGCCATCCTGGCCTGGGCTCGTTTTTGTATTTGTATGGAGACGTAGGGGTTTCACCCGTGTTACCATGGAGGTCTCGATTTCTCCTGACTTGATCCTGTGCTCGCCTCTTGCCTTCGCCAGTGCGCGGATTACCAGTTGCGTGGGCTGCTCCGACGGCAGCACTGCACATTTATCTTTTTGTTTTTTTATTGACTAATACTACCTCATGTTCTATAGTCTCCTAGGTTTTACTAATACTCAAAGCCTTCATTTTATCGTCGCTCTATAGCCGACCCTTTAGCCTAGCAGGGAAGGACGACTTCGTTTCTCAGGGATTTCTTCTGCACCTGTTCTGCACCCAATTCGATGGAGGTAATTGCGCTGTCGTAGCCCATCCTGTTTACACTGTTTACGCTGTTTGCTGCTTGTCACGTTTTCTTCTTGTGAGGCGTTCCGGCTCCTGGAGAGACCGTGGATACTGTCTTTTTACAATTTACGGTCGCACCTGGTTCTCCAACCTTTTGCTGTGATTCCATCAACATAAATTTTTTTTTTTTTTTTTGAGGGGTCGGGGGAATGGGTTTGAGCTGTTACCCAGCCTCGCGGGAGTGCAGGTTGGTGCGATCTCTGGCTGATGCCTAGCCTCATCGTCCTGGTTCAGAGTGGACGCTCCTGCGCTGGCGGAGAGTGCTGCCCAAGTGGCTTAGGATTAGGGATCATCACCATGTCTAGCTAATTTTTTGCATTTTAGTAGACATGGGGATTCCACCATGGTTTCCCATCTGGGTCTTGAACTCCTGACTCCAGGGTGAGTCTACCGCGACTCGGCGCTCCAAAGTGCTAGGGGGGTACCAGGCATGAGGCCCACTTCGGCCCAGCTGACGAATAAAAACATTTATTTTTGCCCACAACCTCCACCATGGAAAGTACATCCAGATTATAAAAATTAGATTATGAAATCCCTCGGCAGGCGTGGTGGGTCCACACCTTTAATCCTAGCACTTTGGGGCCCAGGGGCTGACTCCACTGAGTTTGGGGAGTGTCAAGACCGATCCCTGAGAACATGGATGAAACCTGGTCTCTTACTAAAATGACGGAAAAAAATTAGGCTGGGGCGTGGTGGCGCATCTGCCTTGTAATTCTCAAGGTATCGGGAGAGCCTGGGGCAGGGAGATGGCGTTGAAACCCAGGGAGGGTGGAGGTTGTGGGTGACCAATGATCGTCTGGCTCTGCACTCTAGCCTGGTGGAACGATCGTGAAACTCCATTACAAAAAAGAAAATCCTCAGAACGTTGCCTATAACTTCATGTCTTTTCTCCCTGAACGTATAGTCTGAAGCAGTTATTGAGACTAATGTAGAATAACTCTTTGGATCTTGTATATGGGAGAGGGAGAACCCCACCATGCCTGCGATTTTTTTTTTTTTTTTGTCGTGGGAGGTCTTCAACTGAGCTGCAAAACATTCCTCCCTCCTGAGCCTTCCAAAGTGCTAGGCTTACAGGTGTGAGCCACCATGCCTGGCCTTCTAGTTCATTTTTTAAATGGTTCAAAGCTGCCTTTTTTAGCGACAAAACACTTGGATACTCCATAACTTGAGACTCTAGTGAGTCATGACACCGAGTTTGGAAACTGTTCTACATATAAAATAATGAATATTTAACAGGCAAAATTAAATGTAGGGTTAAATATGTAGTAGCTGGCTATAAGCCTACTGATGTTTACACAAGTAAGTGTGGATTTTATTGTTTGTATTTAAGCTTAATGATAATGTGCAAAATTTCACTTTTCTTCTAGGGTACTGTAAATTGGTCTGTTGATGACATTGTCAAAGGCATCAATAGCAGCAATGTGGAAAATCAGCTCCAAGCTACTCAAGCTGCCAGGTAAGTCTTGTCTGCAATAGCATGGGTAGCCCAAGAAATTCAGGTTTTTAGATTTTTTTTTTTTTTGGGTGGGGACAGGAAGGGACAGATAGTGTGTAAGGAAAGATTAGGCCAGCCAGCCATACGCCAAATAGTATTTTTTATTTATTAATTTTTTTGAGAGAGGGGCCTTGCTATTTTGCCCAGGCTGGTCTCGAATGCCTGGGTTCAAGCAATCCTCTCACCTCAGCCTCCTGAAGTGCTGGGATCATAGGTCATAGGTGTGTGCCATTGCACCTGCCCATAAAATTTTTACCAAAGTAATGTTTCAGGTCACTGGCGGGGAAAGGAAGAAATAAATAGTAAGTGGGATTGAGACATGCATTTAGAATGATAGATCCATTTAGGAGATCAGTATAATTTGACCTTTACCTCCCACCATACACAGATATTTATGATATGATAGAAAGGATTAATAAGTTCTGTAGCTTGAGAGTGTGCGGAAGAACAAATTTCAATGGTAAATTATCATTAAAAAGTTCTAGACTGGGCACTGTGGCTCGTGCCTATAATCCCAGCCCTTTGGGAGGCTAGGGGGCGGGTTACTTGGGCCCAGGAGTTTGAGACCAGCCTGGGCAATATGGTGAGACCCCGTTTCTACAAAAAAAATTATTAGTTGGGTGTGGTGGCACATGCCTGTAATCTTAGGTACTCGGGAGACCCAGGCACGATAATTGCTTGAACCCAGGAGGCGGAGGTTGCAGTGAGCTGAGATCTTGCCACTGCACTTCAGCCTGGTGACAGAGCAAGACTCTGTCTCAAAAAACAAATAAAATTACCTGGGTGTGGTGGTGCGCACTTGTTGTCCCAGCTACTAAAGAGTCTGAGGTGGGAGGATCACTTGAGCCCAGGAGGTGGAGGCTGCAGTGAGCTGTGATCATGGCACTGCACTCTAGCCTGGGTGGAGTGAGATCGTCTCAAAAAAACAAAATGTAGCCGGGCACGGTGGCTCAAGCCTGTAATCCCAGCACTTTGGGAGGCCGAGACGGGCGGATCACGAGGTCAGGAGATTGAGACCATCCTGGCTAACACGGTGAAACCCTGTCTCTACTAAAAAATACAAAAAACTAGCCGGGCGAGGTGGCGGGCGCCTGTAGTCCCAGCTTCTTGGGAGGCTGAGGCCGGAGAATGGTGTGAACCCGGGAGGCGGAGCTTGCAGTGAGCTGAGATCCGGCCACTGCACTCCAGCCTGGGCAACAGAGCGAGACTCCGTCTCAAAAAATAAAAATGTGCTTAACCACAACTATCAGGGAGAACAAATTCAGTTAACAATGGGAGTCTAACCCTGTCAGAACGTCAAAAGTTTTTTTAAAAAGTGACAAGATCTGTAGATTTCTGCAGGGATGGAGAGGAGGGTAATCTACATTAATTTTTGGAAAAATGGTAGTTAATTATACCACATATATAGCACCATACAGGTAATCTGTTCAGCTTCTCTTAGATTCCAGAATGTCTCAGCATTTAGTGATTTACTTAAAAGGTTGTCTGAAGTTCTAAACTGTTGAATTGCATTTTAAATTGGTTTTTACACAAACTCCTTTTGTTAACCACTTTCAACTTTTATTTCTCTTTTTGTTCCCCTTTAGGAAACTACTTTCTAGAGAAAAACAGCCCCCCATAGACAACATAATCCGGGCTGGTTTGATTCCAAAATTTGTGTCCTTCTTGGGCAGAACTGATTGTAGTCCCATTCAGTTTGAGTCTGCTTGGGCACTCACTAACATTGCTTCTGGGACATCAGAACAGACCAAGGCTGTGGTAGATGGAGGTGCCATCCCAGCATTCATCTCTCTGTTGGCATCTCCCCATGCTCACATCAGTGAACAAGCCGTCTGGGCTCTAGGAAACATTGCAGGTACTTGGACTTGAAGTTCTTTTGACTGAATGTATCTAAGTGTAATGAGTTCAAAGAAAGGTCTTATAAGTAGTAACGACTTCGTCAAGTTTTGAGCTTGCTTTCAAGCCGTTATTAGGAATGAAAGTGTCTTTACAAAGGCAGCAGAGGGGCATCTAAGTACGTTTGGGAGTTTTTGCTGGTGCATCAGTCACTGAACGTTGATGGTGTTGGACAAGATAATAAAATTAATCTTGCCTTTTTTTTCAGGTGACGGCTCAGTGTTCCGAGACTTGGTTATTAAGTATGGTGCAGTTGACCCACTGTTGGCTCTCCTTGCGGTTCCTGATATGTCATCTTTAGCAGTAAGTTACTAACATGAATAAAGTTACTCACTTCTTCATTCTAATTTCCCCTATCTTCTCAAAAGACAGAACCTCTCATTGCCTATTTTTATCCCCCTAGTGTGGCTACTTACGTAATCTTACCTGGACACTTTCAAATCTTTGCCGCAACAAGAATCCTGCACCCCCGATAGATGCTGTTGAGCAGATTCTTCCTACCTTAGTTCGGCTCCTGCATCATGATGATCCAGAAGTATTAGCAGATACCTGCTGGGCTATTTCCTACCTTACTGACGGTCCGAATGAACGAATTGACATGGTCGTGAAAACAGGAGTTGTGCCCCAACTTGTGAAGCTTCTAGGAGCTTCTGAATTGCCAATTGTGGTAAGTTATTTACTTGTAGATTAGGACATAAGTATAAAAAGCATGATCAGGGCTGGGTACGGTGGCTCACGCCTGTATAATCCCAGCACTTTGGGAGACCAAGGCGGGTGGATCCCCTGAGGTCAGGAGTTAGAGACCAGCCTGGCCAACATGATGAAAGCCCATCTCTACTAAAAATACAAAGAAATTATCTGGATGTGGTGGCACGCATCTGTAATCCCAACTACTTGGGAGGCTAAGGCAGGAGAATTGCTTGAATCCGGGAGGCAGAGGCTGCAGTGAGTCGAGATCGTGCCATTGCACTCCAGTCTGGGTGACAAGAGCAAGACTCCTGTCTCTCAAAAAAAAAAAAAAGCATTATCAGTTGATACTAATATTGAAATATTACCTATTTCATACCCATGATGGGCCTCTTGTTAAAACTTTTAGGGTACAGAATTTCTGAAGTGCTGGGAAAAAACCAGCGTCAACATTTTTTTTTTTTTTTCCAGACTCCTGCCCTAAGAGCCATAGGGAATATTGTCACTGGTACAGATGAACAGACTCAGGTTGTAATTGATGCAGGAGCACTCGCTGTCTTTCCCAGCCTGCTCACCAACCCCAAAACTAACATTCAGAAGGAAGCTACATGGACAATGTCAAACATCACAGCTGGCCGTCAGGACCAGATACAGCAAGTTGTGAATCATGGATTAGTCCCATTCCTTGTCAGTGTTCTCTCTAAGGTAATGAAGTCTTAGGATTTAATCAAGTCATTTTTAGTATTTATAGAAAGCTGTGCTTGATAAGCTTCTTCACGTGCAAGAATCTTGGGTTCTACTTGGAGTCCTTTGCTGAAAAATACCCAGGAACCCCTTTCACTTACAGTTGGATAGAACCTTGGTACTTTGAGTCATTGTTTTTGTGAAAAAGTACTCTTGGAAACTTATTCTTGCAACTTTCTGAAATAAAACCATTTCCTTATGTTTAATAGGCAGATTTTAAGACACAAAAGGAAGCTGTATGGGCCGTGACCAACTACACTAGTGGTGGAACAGTTGAGCAGATTGTGTACCTTGTTCACTGTGGCATAATAGAACCGTTGATGAACCTCTTAACTGCAAAAGATACCAAGATTATTCTGGTTATCCTGGATGCCATTTCAAATATCTTTCAGGTAAGTCCTATCAAGGTGGCTTTGTTTGAATTTGAACTTGATAATAATCAGTTTACTATTTAGACCTGGGGGAGGGCAACTGTTGTAAGTTTAGTCACTAGTAAGCCACAGATTCAGAAAGCCTGTTTAGGTGGGCCACACCTTTGATTAAAAATGTGGCAGGCATTATCAAAGATGAAAGAGATGACAAGTGGATGATGGGACCTGAATCGAAGTCGGGCGTTTATGTGGACTCATCACATCTGTTTACTTAGTTGATTTAATGTCCCAATTTCATACTGAATTTTGGTGAAATTAAATTTGAATGACTTGGCCAGTCATGGTGTCTCATGCCTGTAATCACAGCACTTTGGGAGTCCGAGGTAGGTGGATCACCTGAGGTCAAGAGTCCGAGACCAGCCTGGCCAACGTGGTGAAACCCCGTCTCTGCTAAAAATACAAAAATTAGCCATGTGTGGTGGCAGGCACCTGTAATCCCAGCTACTTGGGAGGCTGAGGCAGGAGAATCGCTTGAACCCTGGGCCGGAGGTGGAGGTTGTAGTGAGCCAAGATCATGTCACTTCACTCCAGCCTGGCCGTAAGAGTGAAACTATCTCAGAAAAAAAAATTTGAATAACTTATATTTTTCTTCTGGTTGTATCCCTAATTGATCCAAGCATACCAGCATATGGCACTTTGTCATAGTGATTGGTGGTAGGTAAGTCCTACTCATCAACTTTAGATTCTAGAGATTTTTACATATAGAAGTTGAGTCTACAGGCTGGGCACAGTGGCTCACACCTGTAATCCCAGCACTTTGGGAGGCTGAGGTGGGCAGAGTACGAGGTCAGGAGTTTGAGACCAGCCTGGCCAACATAGTGAAACCCCGTCTCTACTAAAAATACAAAAAATTAGCCGGGCGTGGTGGCAGGCGCCTGTAATTCCAGCTACTTAGGAGGCTGAGGCAGGAGAAACGCTTGAACCCGGGAAGCGGAAGTTGCAGTGAGCTGAGTTTGCGTCATTGCACTCCATCTTGGGCAACAAGAGTGAAACTCTCGTCTAAAAAAAAAAAAAAGTTGAGCCTACAATAATGGATGCTGGCGTATTTGTCACTGTGTATAAATAATTTGTCAATATGTGGCCAGTATTTCTTCTTCACCTCATCTAATCCCCTAAGTTACTTCGAAGCAAATCTGTTATTTCATCTATAGATATTTATGTATCTCTTTAAAGTTGAAAATTTAAAGGAAAACTAACCTACATACCATTCCGTATGTCCAGTAAGTCCTTAATACCAACACACATTCTGGTCAGACATTTAGTTTAGCACTCCATAGGCCATCTTTGCCTTTGACACCTTGACTACACCTTGTGATGATAAAGGATTTTTTACAGAACAATAAGCCCCTGTTCCCATAGCAGACCAGTTGAACTGGAATGTAGTGTGTTTTA